ACACACACACACACACACAAAAACAATTACTCACCTAATCAATCAGCCTAAATGTGAAGAAGTTGCACCCCATCCACACCGGATGGCAAAGCTATCAACCCGCGGCGTCTCCCTTCCTTCCAGTGCCGCATGCGGGAGCTCTTTGGTTTCTTCTGCCCAGCCACTCCACGGCGCTTCCACAGTGTCATCTGCTGGGCACCTCCGTCGCACGCTGCGTGACAATATCCCGCGCGTCCGATGGCAACACAAGAAGACCACGACTGTCACTGCTCAGAATTTGTTGCAGCTGCGCCTTGGTGAAGCCGTCCTGTGCGTGGTGGCGCAACACATCGATGCATCCCTCCTCGAGCCCCCACTGTCGTGCCCATCGGGGGCAGCCACAGAGAAGCTCTGCCACACACCGCGCACACCCATGCTCGCTTAGGTACGCGTGGCTCAAGAACGGCACGATCAGCTTCCCAATTGCATCCGCATCCTCGTTCCCCTTCCCTGAGGAGAAGGTAGAGGAAGCCGCGGCGCCAGATGAATGTGGTTGAACTCGATCCAGGGATGTGGCGATGATGGACGCCTGCAAAGGTGTCAAAGGCTGCACTGATGAGGATGACGATGATAACAATGACGCCAACTTATCTTTTAGTGCAGCAATAATGGCACTGAGGAGTTCCCCTTTCACCTGTAGGAAGGCACTGCTGACGAGGAGGCTGATGAGAACATGGAGACCGAGCGGGGGTCCATCACAGCGCAACTGTTTTTCCAGTGCATGCTCGTGAAGCCGCCGCATCGCCTCAAGCAACAGCGGTGCCGAGGCTGCTCCTGTAGCATTCTCGCCGTTATTGTGGGCGATAGTGCTGCTGCTACCACTACTACAACTGCCACTACTGTCACCGTCTGTTCTCCCAACGTCATTGGTCCTCTTAAAGAGCCCCTCCGTCGCAAAAAAGACCGCCACCGGCTCAATTGGCAGCTCTGCGTAGCACCGCCACAAGTCCGCACTAAGGGCTTCTTTGAGTGACTCCCGCACATGCTCTGGCACAACAGGGCTATGCAGCCGAATCAAGAGCCGAAGCAGCTTATGCAGATCCACATCGTGGAATGTGGTCGGGCGCAGCGCTAGTTTCCGCCACGCTGCGGCATCGGGGAGACACTCCTGTGGCCACTTCCCCAATGCATGCACCACACCGACGAAGGTCGACACCGCACACTCCCGCTCGGTCCAGCAGGCGCCGAGCTGCATGATGCCGTCGAGGGCGCGCTGGAGTGCAGCTTCTTCCCCAACCAACTCTTTCAGCAGCCGCACACCCCGCGGCGTCGACACTGTCGCGTCACTATTGCCACCACCGCCATCGCCAGCAGCAGCAGTTGAGCAGTAATAGACCAACGAAGACATGGGGATTGCCGCAACGAGCATCTGATCAAGCACGACACGGAATTCCTTCTCGCTCTGCAAAGGCAGTGTACTCTGCAGTGGGAAGGTGCTCGAGAGCCGCAGCACATCCTCCCACGCGGTCACCTGCGTTGCGAGCGACCACAACGCGCCGTACTCCACCGACGAAAGCGTGTCAGGGGGTGTCGCGAACACCGAATCAAGCAGTGCGGCCTCGAACTCAAGCTTCTCCGCAGCGAAGTCAACGGGGAAGCGCTGCACAGCCTGCAGCGTCTGACGGAGACCTGGAAACGACAACGACAGGAGCGGTTGCTGGGCCCTATCAGTGAGAAGCGCCAGCATCGCGCGGTGGTCAACATAGTCGAGCAGCGCGAACCGCTGTATTAACTTGGCGTTAAATGCCGTGAGTCTCTCGTTCTGGCGGCCAATGTGCTTGAGAAGCGCTAACTGCGTTAGCTGGTTCATGGGCCGCACGAGGCGGAAGGGAAGGGTGTCCATTCGCGCCCGACCACCAGCACACCACACACCTTGCGCGAAGAAAAGGCAAAAGAAATAGATACAGAGATGCCACGAGGGGTGCATGGCGTTCAAAAACAAGCGCCAGCAGCAGCGGAAGCGGCCGTGCAGGAACAAAGTGGGGCTGATGGTGGGGCGGGAGAAAAGAGTCTCACAGAAGGAAATCTGAAAGGGATGCACCCCCTATTCCGCATGACTGCCACAGACATGTAAACACAGACACACATACATACATGCA